TAGTGTTGTTTGATGTTGTTTTACTCATCTTCTATATGAGAAAAGTAGGAGGGGCTTAGTTGTATACCCCCACTTTGATAAAAGAGGTGTGGTTACGTGAAGTCCCGCCCACCTTTCAATGGAGGCATAGAGGCGGGCGGCTTGGTATCCGCCACCTGATCGGCAGGGCTGCCCGGGAGACGGCGAGGGAAGAGCACAATGGGCAGGGTGAAGATGAGCAGAGCCGTTCCAAGGATCAAGAATCCAATCCACCAAGCACCAATCCACCGAGGATCCGTAGTAGGAAAACCAGGATCAACTAACAAACATCTCAGGTATCAATTTACTTTTACAATAGGATCAAAATCTCCGGGTAACATTTCTAAGAAGAGACAAAAACTAACGGTGAAAGGTTTTCTTTAATACAAATCAATAACACGCTACCTATATCAAAGTTGTTGATGACTTGCGCCATCTCTCGGAAATAAATATCAACTAAATGAAAATTTTGCCCGGAAAGAAATTGATCTATAAAAACAAAGTCGCCTGTCCAGTCAAACTAGACGCCATCTATTGACCGTCGCCGCAAACTAGCGGACATAGGTCGGCGACAAAGCCACAACACCAGCTTTGTCACCTACCCGAGGCGGTTAGTTTGCGGCGATGGTCAATAGATGGCGTCTATTTTGACGAGAGAGGCGCGCGCGCGCGATCTTTGATTTTATAGATAACACTATCAACTAATCATTTAATTATTCCAGAATAATAAATAATAAATATCTGAAATATATAATCGATATTTATTCCGAAAGATGGCGTAAGCCATCAGCAACTTTCAATTGTACGATCTAAGAATTCCCTTTTATTAAATTGTAAAATATGGCTATATCATATTTATAGGGACATGATCTACCATGAGTAACACTTACAATATGGATCTTCGTAGAAACTAAGACTGAGCGATGAGATGAGGAATCCCAAGGATGGACCAAAGATCCGAAGGGCAAACATAGTACCTGCAACCACAAACAAGATCCTTCTTTATCTCATAATTTAATGTTTTCAATAAAGGTCACGGTAATAACTTCCCGAGTTATTGTCTGAATCCCGATATACATGCTGAAAGGTACAACTTCCTTAAGTTTTGTTTATGAGTGTATATATATTATTCAACAAGAATAAAGGAACATATATACAATATTAAAAACCAAGGATTCTTGTATAATAGTATAAATACACTCATGGACAAAACTTAAGGAAGTTGTACCTTTCAGCATGTATATCGGGATTCAGACAATAACTCTGAAAGATATTACAGTGACCTTTATTGAAGACATAGATAACCAAGTGTGAACAAAACTTAAGGAAGTTGTACCTTTCAGCATGTATATCAAGATTCAGACAATAACTCTGAAAGATATTACAGTGACCTTTATTGAAGACAGAGATAACCAAGTGTGAACAAAACTTAAGGAAGTTGTACCTTTTAGCATGTATATCGGGATTCAGAAATAACTCTGAAAGATATTACAGTGACCTTTATTGAAGACAGAGATAACCAAGTATGAACAAAATTGCCTATGTCTTCTTCAAAAAACAGACAACTGGTGACATGAAAGGCATTCCACTTCCTTAAGTATTGTTCATGAGTGTAATAGGATGTAGGGACATAAACACTTAGGACCGTCCTCTCCAGCTAGATCTCCAGATAGAGAAGATAGAGGAAGGAAGGACTTCCTGTCTGTTATCTCCGTCCTTCAATAGACCGACCAATGGGCCGACTCAGGATAAACAAACCGCTCTCAACTGATCGAAGGACAACGTTGACTGACCCAGCTACGGACTGGAGAGAGAGAATCTGGTTTTACGGGCTACTAAACAAAGTGTATACCCTCGTCAGATGGCATCTATCTTTGACGTCTATTTTGACGGGAGAGACGATCTTTGTCTTTTTAGATCAATATCCTTCAGGAGAGAGAAAAATTTCTATCTATTCTATTTATTGTTGGCAATAAAAACATTTTGTGAATCTTTAAAAAAAATGAATATAGCAAGCAGACAAACCGTAATGCACTATAGCAGGGGCCGGTAAACGGCGGCTCGCGATACACATGCAGCTCTTTGTATGTGAAGCTGAGGTTTTTTAGTTCCATACGTAAATATTATTTATGCGATTATATACTATTTATATAAAAAGACAATGATCGCCTCTCCCGTCAAAATAGACGTCAAAACTTTACGCCATCTATTGACCGTCTCTAAAACTAACGGTCTCGGGTTAGTAACAAAGCCACAACAACAGGTTTGGCAAACTTAAAAGCGTTCACCTAAAGACAATGGTTTCGAGCTAATGGCCCTCGTCAGATGGCGTCTAGCTTTGACGTCTATTTTGACGAGAGAGGTGACCGGTTATCTTTTTAGATCAATATTCTCCCGGAAAATTTTCCATCTATACTAATTATTGTTGGCAATAAAAACTTGTGTGGCTCTTTAAAAAATTATAAATTTTGTAAATTGTAAATTTTGAATATTCCGACACAAAAATTTTGACGACCCCTGCACTATAGGCACCCCGCCACCAAGGCTGTTCAAAGAATGTTAGATTGCCAAAAGTACGGACTTGAGAAATCCAATCTGAGAGAACAGATGGGATAACTTTCTGGGGAGAGGTACACTACTGATGGACCATTTCCATTAAATAGTTGTTCATCGCGGTCAAGAGATTAGGGATTTGTGGTTTATTTGTAGAGAAAAATTCGTTTTTAATGTTCGTCAAATGAGGAGAGAGAGATGGTGACATTGGTTCTACTGAGGTAAAATGACACCATTGGCTCTACCAGTGATGTGAAATGGTACCATTGGGTCACCCAGTGATGTGAACTGGTACCAATGGCTCTACCAGTGATGTGAAATGGTACCATTGGGTCACCCAGTGATGTGAAATGGTACCAATGGCTCTACCAGTGATGTGAAATGGTACCATTGGGTCACCCAGTGATGTGAACTGGTACCAATGGCTCTACCAGTGATGTGAAATGGTACCATTGGGTCACCCAGTGATGTGAAATGGTACCAATGGCTCTACCAGTGATGTGAAATGGTAACATTGGGTCACCCAGTGATGTGAAATGGTAACATTGGCTCTACAAGTGATGTGAAATGGTATCATTGGGTCACCCAGTGATGTTAAATGGTACCATCGGCTCTACCAGTGATGTGAAATGGTACCATTGGCTCTACAAGTGATGTGAAATGGTAACATTGGGTCACCCAGTGATGTTAAATGGTACCATTGGCTCTACAAGTGATGTGAAATGGTAACATTGGGTCACCCAGTGATGTGAAATGGTAACATTGGCTCTACAAGTGATGTGAAATGGTAACATTGGGTCACCCAGTGATGTGAAATGGTAAATTGGGTCACCCAGTGATGTGAAATGGTAACATTGGGTCACCCAGTGATGTGAAATGGTAACATTGGGTCACCCAGTGATGTTAAATGGTACCATTGGCTCTACCAGTGATGTGAAATGGTAACATTGGGTCACCCAGTGATGTGAAATGGTAACATTGGGCCACCCAGTGATGTTAAATGGTACCATTGGCTCTACAAGTGATGTGAAATGGTAACATTGGGTCACCCAGTGATGTGAAATGGTAACATTGGGCCACCCAGTGATGTTAAATGGTACCATTGGCTCTACCAGTGATGTGAAATGGTAACATTGGGTCACCCAGTGATGTGAAATGGTAACATTGGGCCACCCAGTGATGTTAAATGGTACCATTGGCTCTACAAGTGATGTGAAATGGTAACATTGGGTCACCCAGTAATGTGAAATGGTAACATTGGCTCTACAAGCGATGTGAAATGGTAACATTGGGTCACCCAGTGATGTGAAATGGTAACATTGGGTCACCCAGTGATGTGAAATGGTAACATTGGGTCACCCAGTGATGTGAAATGGTACCATTGGCTCTACAAGTGATGTGAAATGGTAACATTGGGTCACCCAGTGATGTGAAATGGTAACATTGGGTCACCCAGTGATTTGAAATGGTACCATTGGGTCACCCAGTGATGTGAAATGTTACCATTGGCTCTACCAGTGATGTGAAATTGTACCATTGGCTCTACCAGTGATGTGAAATGGTAACATTGGGTCACCCAGTGATGTGAAATGGTAATATTGGCTCTACAAGTGATGTGAAATGGTAACATTGGGTCAGCCAGTGATGTGAAATGGTAACATTGGCTCTACAATGATGTGAAATGGTAACATTGGGTCACCCAGTGATGTGAAATGGTAACATTGGGTCACCCAGTGATGTGAAATGGTAACATTGGGTCACCCAGTGATGTTAAATGGTACCATTGGCTCTACAAGTGATGTGAAATGGTAACATTGGGTCACCCAGTGATGTGAAATGGTACCATCGGCTCTACCAGTGATGTGAAATGATACCATCGGCTCTACCAGTGATGTGAAATGATACCATCGGCTCTACCAGTGAAGTAAGATACTGAAATAACAAAAAGAGCCGCCGAGTGAAAGAGTAGATAAGACATATTGATGTTACTGCAATTAAGTTGAAATGTAAACAGAACGTAGATAGGGGACTTGGAGTCGAGCGATCTCTCTTTGGCTACATTCCCGTGATCCTGACAATATGGAGAATGTTTGTGGTTTTGAGTTGTTGAACTAAGATCTTCGTCATTTTTACTTTTCAAAACATCTTGTGTAATAGTTCTTTGAACTCTCTACGGATCATATAGAAAATTCAATAAGAATAATATAGTTAAGTACAAGGTTGTCCCAAAAGTTCGTAAACACTTGCAAATTAATTGAAATACCAATATAATTCACCGTTATGTATAAAGTCTTTGTATTATGTATAAAGTAATTGTATTATGTATTATTATGTATTCGCGTAATAATATTATTCGCCAAGTAATAAGAAAAACACGAACTTTTGGGACAACCTTATATATATTTTTAAAAAAACTTCTCCTCTAATCTGTCAGATTGGCTGAGTGGTTTAAGACGCCAGACTTAAGTTCTGGTTCTCAAGATAGGGGGCGTGGGTTCGAAACCCACATCTGATATCTTTTTTTTTTTTTTTTTGGGCTCAAAAATCTCATACACTTTGGTTAGTAGCCGGTAAAACTATATTATCTCTTCTCCTCTAATCAGGCAAATGAAGGTTACTGACGGCTTACGCCATCTATCGGTATAAATAGCAATTAATCGTCGATTTTTTTAATTAACACCTCAGAATAGTTACAATTCAACCTGACTTAAGATAACCTAAACTAACCTAACCTTAACTAACCTAAGCTAAACAACAATAAAAAGCTTTATTAAGACCTTTTAGTCTTCTACAGATTCTCCAAACAGAAATGTAGGATACATGCAGGAGAAACAGTAATAGTACCTTAATGGTAATATGATATTTATATACAGGAAACATTATATAAAGATAATCAAGCTAATAGATTAGTCTGGGTAAATTGGAGGAAAAGAAAATTATCATACATGGATTTACCGCGGATTCACAGCAAATGAAGGTAAAAAGGTAAAAGCTAATCACAATCAATAACCTAACCTAACCTGACTTAGCGAATTGGTATAGTCGGAGCGTAATCATAGGTTCCTTCTAAACACCCCTAAGATGCCTTCCATAGTAAAACCAGGATATATAACTGTGATGTTCCTCTCTCTTCGATTAAATAAATAAATATGCTTTATTAAATTAATAAACAAATTTTAATTATATATCTTTCTAATGTCAAGCATACACTTTTTTAATAGATTCATAACAACAACAATAATTACAGTGCTGTCAAATCCAAACAATCAAAAATAAATTAATTAAACAGAGTAGATTATCATATTATTATAAGGTATATTACAACAACAAAACCAATCCCATACAATAGTAGAGAGCGGTCTGGAGATTAATTTGGTTAAACCGCTGAGAGTGTTCACCATTGATGAGCCAAGCCCTATTATTCATCAACTTTTATCATTGCAGGAAGATATCTGTAGAGAATCTCTACAGATACAGATAATACAGTTAAACCTATATATAGCGCCACCTCTAAATAGCGCCTTCCTCTCTATAGCGCCCGTTTTAAACATTAAAATGTAAACATTTTACATTAAAAGAGATCTGTCTATAGTACCCCCTCTCTATAGCACCCTATTTTGGTGAGTCCAAAGAGGGGGCGCTATAGACAGGTTTAACTGTATTTGATGCTATTACAAAAAAAAAACACACAAATTTTCAGTACATTTATTTGTTACAAATTTGATCAAATATGACTAATTTTTAATATAAAGATGTTGAATAATAAATAGAGATTTGTGGTTATTGGGGTGAGAGAGATATAGTCTTAGCCAGGAAATGCAGACGAACACTAACCTGGTTGACACAGATGATAAAAAACAAAGTCTTATATGTTATCAGGACATTGTCCTATCAAAAGTTGTCACTTATATCATTGCGTGATAGGACAATCTTTTCTATATTTGTCATCCAGGCGACACGTTCCTATCGATAAGTGAAAGCAGAAGAACAAAGGGAAGCCTATTTGTGACTCATATCTTCTGTAATAAGATACACTCATGGACAAAACTAAACAAATACAGAACAAATGTCAGTATTTGACGCTGATGCTTTGGCAAAATACAAGATAATTAAACAAAAAATAAGAAAAGATCAAATATGTGAAATAAACTCTGAGAGAAAACTGACAAAAAACTATAACAATACTTAGAACAAAACACTACAAAGGAATGACAATACATCCATATGGCACAAGAACCTATAGGACATGCAACAACTGTCCTGGTGTGGAACTAACACCTATCCACATATTCACATGCCCAGCAATGGCCGCAGCCTTGCACAAAATTGACATAGACCCAGGGCAGCGGCTTTGCACACCCAAGATAGCGGACACTGCTGCTGCTGTGATGGAGATGCATGGAGACATCTGAGGCTCTTCATTGGACACGACAACAACAAAAACATGGACAAAACTTAAGGAAATGGAAATTTTTTGATGTCGTCCTGTCTTCTGTTTTTTTTTTTTTTTTTTTTTTTTTTTAAGGAGACAGAGGTAATTTTGTTCATACTTGGTTATTTCTTGTGTTAATTTCAACTAGTGTGAAAATTATGGATCAAGAGGTCTATATCTCTTCTTCTTTCTTATCTCATAGGGGAGAGTAGAATGCGTCTGCCTTTGTCATTAAGACTGGGAGCACTACTCAGTGGCAGGCCGACTTAGCTCCAAAAGAAATGGCCGCCTCTGACATGAGGAACAGACTCCATGTGCAGCCGCTCCTAACATGGAGTACAAACGCTGCTCATCCTGTATCCCTGGATTACGAGCCCTTACAGGGTACTATCAGCCAGGCCAGCTGAGCCCAGGTTTTTTATTGAGCTTGTTACTGCTCCCCCTCCTCCTTTTTCATCCGGGCTTGGGACCGGCAAAGGCGGAGTTAGAGGTTTATATTAAAGGCGATATATATACGTATATATATTCCCAATGAATATCGTGTAAAGGAATTATGATATTGTTAATAAATCCTGGAGAGAAATGGCTCTCGAAGTGTATTGTGAAGTTATGTAAGAGAAGAGAGAGCGGCTGAAGTAAGTACTTGGGTCTCTCTATCTAATCTGCATTCTCTAAACAAGACGCAAGATTGCAGTTTCCACGAAATCTGCAGACTTCCTTGTATCTTCTACTTCTCAACTACTCGGTGGGGACTCTCAACTACACGGTGGTGATGTTATTCTATTTCTTGAGTACACTGTAGTGATGTGGTTCTATCTCTTGAATACACGGTAGGGATTCTATCTTTTAACTACACGGTTAAATATGTAAGAAGAGCCTCATATTTCTCCGTACATCTCTATCATAACAGTCACAATGTTCTCTATCTTGGATGTGTAAAGTTCTGGGTCCATGTCAATTTTCTGTTGTTGTTGTCGTGTCCAATGAAGAACCTCAGATGTCTCCATACATCTCTATCACAGCAGTCGCAATGTTTTCTATCTTGGGTGTATAAAGTTCTGGGTCCATGTCAATTTTATATTGTTGTTGTGTCCAATGAAGAGCCTCAGATTTCCCCATGCATCTCTATTACAGCAGTCGCAATGTCCACTATCTTGGGTGTGTAAAGTTCTGGGTCCATGTCAATTTTCTGCAAGGCTGCGGCCATTGCTGGACATGAGAATATGTGGGTAGGTGTTAGTTCCACACCAGGACAATTGTTACATGTCTTGCAGGTTCTTGTGCCATCTGGATGTATTGTCATTCCTTTATAGTGTTTTGTTCTGAGTCTTGTTTTTGTGATTATTATCTCAGATTTTCCAATATGTATTTTATTATAGAGACAAATATAACTCTATATAAATATCTAGAATATAGTTGATCTTCTGTTTCTATTACCTACTTCATTGTAATGTAACGTGTATTATAATTGTAATAAATATTTTAATCTTTTATCGGTTTAAACAATATGAGAGTCAACTAAGTAAAATACAACTCTACTTAGTATTAAATTAAGAAAAAGGTATCTCTCTCCTTATCGTGCAACTGAAAGTTGCTGATGGCTTGCGCCATCTGTAGGAATAAATATCAACTATTCTCGTTGATTTTTAATTACTCCAGAATTGGCCAAATTGGTATTAAATGTTGCTTTTCGACTTCTTTTGAGAATTGAAAGTTATAATGGTTCGCGAAGTTTCTCTTAATGGTAGGAATATTCGTCGATATTTGACAGAATATGCAAATCAATCAGATTCTTTACAATACCCTATACATATCATTGCTAATAGTTTCGACTAAAATGTGTTTATTTATTTAATACCATAACAATTATTAAATCTATTTATATATAAAGAGGTCATTGTAAATATGCTTTTATGTAGCAACGTATGATAAATAGCCTGGTGTTTGAAAAATAATCTAATTGTCGAATATACACTCATGGACACAACTTAAGGAAGTTGTACATTTTAGCATGTATATCGGGATTCAAACAATAACTCTGAAAGATATTTGATACACAGTAACCTTTATTGAAGACGGGAGATAACCAAGTGTGAGCAAAATTGCTTCTGTCTTCTTCACAAAAACAGAAGTCCGGCGACATCAAAATATGAATTTTCCTTAAGTTTAATTCCATGAGTATATTTCAAATAGAAATTTACAAATGCATGTTGTTAATGGCAGAAACTTTATACGATGTATATCACTTATGTTTATACATGTGAAAAAATAAATTAAAAATAAAAAGGTCAGGTATTGGTATTAAAATAAAAAAAGGCATATCATGACAACGATCACTCTGCCATCTAAAAAACTCATGTTTTTCAAAAAAAGACCAAATTTCAAATGTCTTAATTTTTAGCTATTGATTCGATTTTTCACGATTACACTGCAGTCAGAATAAACAGAATTGAATGGTACTTACTGAAATATATTGGAGCATCCTTCTTCTTGACATTGTCATCCAGATAGGGCGTACCAATAGTAAAGAAGGCTGTATAGCCGAAACCATTGAGGAAGTTGGCAAAGAAGAGAATATAGACAGGTGCCATAGTGGAAGGTCCGAGATTGCTGCAGCTTGCTTCGTCATCCGGTCCATCACAGAGCTCATGCTTCGGCTTGCTCAGCAAATCAGGGGATTTGTCCAGAAGATGGGTCCCAGGACCATATAGGAAATAGGGAAGAGCACTTAGGAAACAACTCAAGACAACTAAGAGCATGCCCATGAAAATAAGTCGAGGGCGATGTGATTTGCCTCCATAATACCCAATCAGAAGACTAAGGACAATCGGGCTAAGGTTATCTGCAATTAAAATGATTCCACTCACTTTACTCTCGAAGGAGAATCTTTTCTCCAGGGTGGTGATGACTCCAACTACATAAGTAAAATAGGCTCCTTGCAGGATACCAAGAATGCAGTAGTTGAGGAGATAACATCTTGGAGTGGCAAATACTTGAAGCCAGCGAGGTCTGAAGGATCCTATACCACAGGAGGTATCAAGACAAATCCTCTCTTCCTCCTCCTGGGTCTTCGACGCCATGCC